CTAAAACATAAAGACCATTTCCCTGAGTTTTGAATCTTATGGTAGGAAGTCCTACACAGACACAAAAACCCACACAACAATAAGGAAAAGCTTCAAATTATTGTAATTACGGGGCTCCCTGGGTCTTAAGCCTGGTTAGAATTATGTGCCCCTCCACCCCCAATCTCCCTCTTCTCCTTCCTTCCCTCTGCCCTTGAAATGCACCTAAAGGATTCTGTGAATCTGTTTTGACACTCACAAAACAAACTGACCAACAAAGGTTGATTAATACTCATCATCAAGATTAGTGTAACCTTTGACACTGTCCTTTGTTCAGTGCTTCTAGTTACTCTCCCACAGTGGCACTGATTGAGGTCAGGTGGCCCCAGGCCTCTATGCTTGAGCTCTATGACTGTGCTTGAATATTTTTTCTATGTTGATAACTCTCCTGAGTGTTGAATTAAAGTGAAGGATATGGCTATACCTGTATCCTTACACTTGTTTACCAGAGCTATTGACATAATCTTTCCCTAATTACCAGTAATTTTTCATTTCTTTTATAACACTTTTAACTATCCTTGGCTACAATCCCTTGAAAATAGTAGATGCTAAATAAGTGGTTGTTTTGTTTTCATAATGTTAATGATTATGATAATAACACCTTGGAGACAAGTCTGAACTCTGTTGGGATCTGCATACAAGTTGTCCATAAAGTACATCACACCTGTTTGCCTTTGCTTGCTCGGTAAATCTCATTTATATTTAGTCATCCTTGGGCTGCCTTTTAAATAGCTCAAATGACAATCACCTTTTTCATTTCAATTCACTGCCAACGTTGATTTCCACCTGATCATGGAGATAATCTTTAGTACTGTATTTCACTCTATCATAGTTCTAGGGGCCTTCCGTTATTTCTGGCACACAGGGCAATAGCATAATGTAAATAAATATCACAGGGAGGGCCTTAAAATATTTTATTTTTCTAACTCTCTCCCCCTTTCCTTTTCCTCTGGTTTTTGTTTCTGTTTTTGTTTTTGTTTGTATTTGTGGTTTTTTTTTTTTTGATACTTAACAGTCCAAGACCTCTGCTTATGTCACTAGGAGAGCATAGTTACATTATACTCGTTACTTCATAGGATCATAACTTTAGAGCAAGAAGAACGTTAGAAATCATGTACTATAACCCCCTTATTTTACAGAGAAAGAAACAGGCCTGGAAAACTCAAGTGATTTACCCAAGAAGATAGTAAGTAGGAAAGCTGGTATTGAACACAGATCCTCTGTCTCCAAATCTAGTGGTGTTTCTATTTTACTCTTCTTTCTTTCTCTATTTTCCTGCCATAACTTTGCTAAAAGCTTTTTTAAATTATTTTTTTAATAACTATCTGGTTTACGTAATCACTACCTCCTACTTTTTATCCACAATATACAACTCCCTAAGTCAGTATTTTCAAGTAATTTTTAATGTCAAAAAATCTTGCAGACTCACATGGTAATAGTATATGTTGATTAAGAATATATATATAATAATAATAAGCTACTATGAATTTGTATTTTATTAATCACAACAGTATCTAACCTACTTTTGAAAAAATATTACTATAAAATATGCAAGAAATGTGACTTATTTTGTCTATGGAAAGTTTAGTTGTTGTTCAGTCATTTTTCAGTTATGTCTGACCCTATTTGGGGTTTTCTTGGCAAAGATCCTGGAGTGGTTTGCCATTTCCTTCTTCAGCTCATTATACAGATGAGAAATTGAGGCAGATAAGGTTAAGTGACTTGTCCAGGGTCACACAGCTAGTAAGTATCTGAGGCCAGATTTGAACTCAGGTCTTTGGCCTGGCACTTTTTCCACTGTGCTACCTAGCAGCCCCCTATGGAAGGTACATTTGCATATTTATTACATTGATTCACTTAACCAGAAGGGCAACTTTCAATAATTTCATCTCAATCTCAACCTCCTTCCCAGAGTCTGTGGCCCACTTATTGGGAACCAATACTCTGATGCATCTACTATTTCATAATTCTGAGTACTCTTTCCCATTACATATATGACAGCCTATCCTATACGACAGGCTTCTGTGACTCCTGTCCACAAATTTGCCAAGGGATCTTTTGTCCAAAGTTCTGAGGATTTCTTCTGATTCTTTTCACATTGTATGGAAACCAATGAAACATGTGAACTGCCCTTTGATTACTCCTTGCCAGCTAGTTATTCCCATAACAGTACTATCTTTTTTTTTACTTCTGGCCATACATTCCTTCTCACTTGTGTATATTAGTAGATGAAGATTTAGTGCATTTCTGTTTTGCTCTGTCTTAGAAATCTCATAATTCAATGAAAACTTTTTAGCTGTAATGTATGTAAATGTTTAGAGGTTAAAAAAAACTTCAAGATTGATCAACATCAAAATCTTATCTGGAAAAATTTGAAACTTTTTTCTTTTAAATTGTGAATCAATAAATAAACATTTATTAAACATTTGCTATTTTCCACACACTGTGTTAGAGATGCAAAGGCAAAAATCGGACAGTCTCTTTGCTGGAGACAGAGGAGTAAAAATGCAAAAAATCCTTGACTAAGGAGCTTACATTCTACCAAGAGAAATAATATGTATATATTAAATAGGAGTCAGCTTGTATAGTCTTTCAAGAGCTGATTATTAAATTTTCAGTGTAAGCATATACACTTCAGACTTGTAAATGCTACGAATCAGGACTTGATTTATTGTTTTGTTGATTGTCTAGATTTAAGTGATGAAGAAAATGTTAATAATTCGAATTCAACATAAAAATATGTCACGTATACATACTCACTTTTCTGGAAACCTAGTTGTTAAACATTTTAGCAGCACTCCACAGTGTATGAGTATTTTGAAAATAAATAGAAACAGAGCAACCAACAAATGTATATGAAAATTAATGAAAAAAAGGAAGAGGAAAAGGTGCCTATCATTACTATCTCAAAGTATACTACAAAGTAATACTCATTAAAATCATCTGGTACTGATGAAAAAATACAAAAATTGAACAATAAAGCAAATTTGGCACGTAAGCAACATCCAGAAGCAACTGAGCACAATAGCATAGTGTTTCATAAACCAAGAACAGAACCCACTACAATTAGAACTCATGTAAAAAGAACGTTTAGGAAAATTGGAAAGCTTTCTAGAAGAAATTAGATTTAGATCAACTTTCATACGGTACATCACAATAAGCTTCAATGGATAGATGATGTCAGTATAAAAGGGCATAGTGTAAACAAACTAAAGGAGAAAGGAAAGTAGAGAGGGCATGAACTCTTGATCATAAAAGAGAGAGAAATGAACAATTTTGATTGAACAAAAATGAAAAATATGCGTAAACAAAAATAATGTAGTTTGAATTAGAAGAGAAACAATTAATTAGGAAAAAGTCTTCAAAGCAAATTTCTCTGATAAACTTCTAATATCCAAAATATATAGAAAATTGATATAAATATGTAAGAACAAGAACCATTCCCCAATCCATAAATGGTTAAAAGCTACGAATTGGGGCAGCTAGGTGGTGCAGTAGGTAGAGCTCTGGCCTTGGAGTCAGGAGGACCTGAGTTCCAATTGGACCTCAGACGCTTGAGGTGTGTGACCATGGGCAAGTCACTTAACCCCAATTGTCTTACCAAAAAAAAAAAAAAAGCTATGAAAAGGCAGTTCTCAAAGGAAAACATCCATGCTATTAAGAATTATGTGGGGAAAAAATGCTCCAAATGACTAATATAAGAGAAATGCATGTTAAAACAAATCCAAGGTTCTACCTCACAAGTCAACAGAGTGGCAAAGGTACGAAAAAGAAAATTATAATTTTTGAGGATGATATGGGAAGACAAGCACACTAGTGCTGTATTGGTTGAGATGTGAATCAGTCCAGCTGTTCTGGAAAGCAATTTGGAATTATATCCCAAAAGTTACTGAACTGTGCATAATTTTTAATCTATCAATACAATTCCTAGGCATGTATCCCAAGAGATTAGAAGAATAGGGAAAGCACTCATGTTTCCAAAAATATTTATAACAGCACTTTTTGTTACAGAAAAGAACAAATTGAAAACAAAATGAGTGCACATAAGTTGGTCAGTGACTGACTGAATTATAGTATATGAATATAATGGAATCTTATTATGCCATAAGAAATGATGAAAGGAATGAATTAAAAGAAACCAGGGAAAACTTGTATGAATTGATACAGAGTAAAGTGAGCAGAACCAAGAGAACTATTTATACAATAACTACAACATTATAAGAAAGATTTAAGTACTCTGATTAGTGTGTGAGAAATGATTATTAATAACCAGTTTCTTAAGGAGATTCACAGCTTCCCCTCTTCTTCCAAAGTTCTGATTTTAAGTTCAGTTTTCTTCTAGGACATTACTGATAATAAGATTTCATTAACTCTTCTAGATCTTGGTCAGGCCCCACCCATCCTTGCAAGGAATTTAATCTAGAGTGGGGAAAACCATGAAGGGATCAGAGCAGTTCACTCTATATTCTTAACAAGGAACTCCCCTCGGTCAGGCCCATGTGGAGTGTGGGGTGTTTGTGACCCCCAAAATAATCAAATCAGAGACTTTTTCTTAAGAAAGGCAAAAAGGAGTTTTATTGCTTTCTCATGAGAAAGGAGACATCCAGCATCGCTCAAGATGGCTCCAGCCAGGGTGTGCAAGAGAGTGCAGCTCAAAGCCAATTTATATAGACCCTAATGAGGAACCTCCACCCCCCCCCCACTAGCTCTTCTTCACATTGGCTGGGCTTCAGAGCTCACAGTCTAAGTGCAGAAACTTTTCCCCAGCAACAAGTTTGCAAAAAGGCGCAAAACAAGGAACTGTTGGTTCAGCAAGAAAGATAAGATAAAAGGATAAAGAAAGTAAGATAAAAGGAGAGGAGAGCCGGAAAGCCTGGACAAACGAGATACTTTTGAGGACATAGCCTGATGTAGTTGTTTATTTGTGTAATCAATAACCTAATCTCCCTCTGTCCTGTCCTTATCAATTCTGTGGGAACCAAACTGTTAGCATTCCTCACAGAGAGTTCTTTGTTAGAACTCTGTTGGTGATTTGACTCTCCCTTTTACCAGTAAGTAAATTTTGTCTGAGTAAGTATACATGTGTCTATATGTCTGTTTTTAGTGTTTGTGCTACAGCTTTTTTCTGATTTTCGCTCTTACAGGAAGGCAATCATCAGGTAGATGTGTATACTTGAAAAAGATCCTCTGAAGTAAGCTATATGTGGATGAGAGAGAGAAACCTCTGTGTACACAGTAAAGGGCCACCTGGGAAATTCGGGTTTTGTGGATATTCAGCTTTTGAAACCAATGGCTTGGTAAGCCCCCAAAGTACCAGCAATCTATTCCTAATTTCCTGTAGGACTAGGGTTTCAAAAAGGGAAATCCAGCAGGCCAATACTCTGTGAGAGAATCTCTAAAGCTACAATCCTTGCTTTCAAGCTTTTGGGGTTACATAAACATTAAGTTTTTTGTGTGTCTGTGTGTGTAACTCTTTAAAGAGTTTACTCAAGTAAAGGTGTAGAGGTGTGTAAAACTGCCCAAGAGGGTGTTGAGGCCCTGTTCTTAGTGTTTTCAGTTGGTGGTGTGTCAAAAAGATTCTGTCAGGTAAAGTGAGATATTAAAGCAAGGAAAGAAAGTTTTAATCTTAACTTTTCGCTTTCTGGGTCACTAAAGCTCAGTTCTGTTTGTCTCTGTGTCCCTTTGTGTACGGTTTTCTAAGATTAGCTTGTTAAGCAAGGGAACTGAAAAAGCAGGGTGAAACTCCCAGGAGTTAAGTTTGGGAAGTGGAATCGGAGAAGGGATCTTTTCTTCCGAGTAAAAACACCAAGTTTTTTTGTTTTTTGTTTTTCCCTTTGGATGAAGCTCTAGCAACAGCTTTTTACTGATAAAGATCTAGATGAAGCAGCCCAAAGATAGCAATGGCTGATGAGGGAAAACTAAGAGAGTTTTTTGCTACTCCAAAGTTAGATGAATTAACTTTTAATTAGATCCCAAATCTAAAGTTTGTAGATTATGTTTAAATTGAATCTAGAGAACTGTCTTTGCTTCCCCTTCCCTTAGCTTCCCTCACCCCGCCCCCCAACATAGCTGACATTAGGGCACTGTGTTTAAAACTCAAAAAAAATTTTTTTTTCTTGTAAGATGCTTTGATCAGGGCTTTTATGTCATAACCTTAAATGCAATCACTTTAGGATTTCAGTAATTTGTTTAAAAAGTATATTAACATTGTAAAAGCAGTTTTTTTATAGGTAAAGTTGGTGAAATGTGTGAGAGAAATACATCACTCTTGATTTGTAAATTATTAAGTGTTAACACTCTCCAGATTCTAAAAGGTGAAGAGCAAAAGGGTGGATGAGTAAGATGTTAATGGGCTTTCAGAGTAGCCAGAACCCCACTTTGTGTTTTCAGGAGGAACATAAGCCACTGCATTTCCTAAGGATTTATCCCACAAACTTCTTTTATTGGGACTAGGAATAGACAGTGCTGGTTTCTATGTCCTTTTGAGAATGAGAGATTTAGAGCTCTTTGATCTCACAGAGAACACCTGAATTTTGTGATATGCAGATTAATAAAGATAATCCCCTGGGTTGAAATTAACTCCATAACTTGGGAAAGTAGGGTTGTTGTAAGACAGTGGTTTAATAATAGAATGTGCAGTCTGGGATATGGTTGAAATGTGAAGGAAAGTGGGGTTGTCAGAGTAATGGGTTTGAAAGATTAGGAAAGAAAAATAAAGGCTGGAACGAAAATACAGAAGAGAGGTAAGAAAGTTTAGGTACACATGAGGCACATAACCCTGCACACAGCAGGTGGTCAGCAGCAAGCCCATGTGCTCCAGGCTCCTCCTGTCCCTGTTGCTTTGGGTGCCCTTGTGCCAGCTTCATATGGTTTAAGCTTGTTGAGAGGGTGTGAGGAAGTTTGGCTTTGTTTTAAGTAGAAAGATTGACAATGGAAATTTCACAGTTTGATTTGAAAGTCAATAGACAAAAGTTTTAGAGGGTTAGAAAGAAGCAAAATGGAGGACTCCACATATTTCAAGCCCCTCTTGTTGTATATTGTCACTTTAAAATTTTTGGTGGTAGATTAGCTGGAAATAGTGAATCCCATAATATGAAATGAGATGCATGCGTATGGAGCATCATTCACCATTGGAATAAATAACCCTTGTGTAAAATACATACTAAATAATTGAAATTATAAATTGAGGCTCTGCATGATAACATTTGGAAAATCGATCCAGGTGTAATTGAATTTATTTTTGTCTCATTTTAAGTGAAATTTATTATTTATTATTATTATACTATATTGGGAAACTTGTTAGATGTGTGGTTTTAAGATAGGTTACGCCAGTGATTTGTGAAGTTATAAAAATAATGCCTAACATTAATTTGATAATTTACTGTATTAGAAAGGTTGTTAGAAATGTGAATTCTTCAGTTCTTTTGTGTTATGGATTTAATTGTTAAAAGACTGATGTAAAAAAATAAAATAATTAGTAGTAGATTAATAACTAAGTTAGGGTGTCAGTATTTTAATGTTTCAGGATCTAGCCCCATGCTTCGTGCAGTGATTTGACTTCAATTAAGAACTAGAAATTGCAAAGGAAAAGATTTTTAGAAATCACTCCCTAGGAAGGTTTTGTTAAATCTAACTCTACATAAATATTGGATATATTAAAGATATTGATTATTGTGATTTGTGATTATTACACAAAATTTTAAATTTTTCTTTGTACTGTGCAATTATTTAATTTTTATTTAAGTAACCGTGAAAGCTCTGGAAGTTTCTGCTCCAGAAACAGGCCATGGCTATATCAGCATTGAATCAAATTCCTTATGTCTTACTGCCTGGGCCAAAAAGCAGCATGTCATTTTAGAGTCTTAGGATATTTTAACCCAGCGTATTTTAAGCTAACCTGATAATAACAGCTGCAAATTTAAACTGTTTGCAAAATTTTATATGTATTTCCTAGTATGTGCAGGGATGGGAATGGGGAGCTGGAATGTTCTTTATCTGGGCAGCTCTTTCTCTGATAAGTCTCCAAGGTAGAGGTAGGGGATCCTAGCTCTTTTAAGGAAGTAGAGCAAAAGTTTATATGGAGCTGGGAATTGTTATCACCTGTCTAAAAAAAAAGCAGGGAAATATATGAATTTATGGATAATAATATTTTTCTTTTAAAATACTAAGAGTATTGGGGCTTAGAAATTAAAATGTTACCGTTAGCGATTATAAATCTGGATTTGATTGGATTTTAGCCAAAATCTACCCAGAAGGAAATAAGAACTGGGTCTGAGAAACCTAACATGAAATAATATTTGTTATTTGACATTAAGAAATTTATGAGCTGTATTGCCCCAAGAAAGTTCTATTTAACTCGGTTTACTGTTCTATAAGGGTATAATAATAGGACCTACCTTCCAGCATTGTTATGATTATCACATGATTAAAAAGTGTTTGGCATAGGGCAAACCTATCTCAGTGTTAACTGCTTTTATTATCTCTTTTAATTAGATGTCATTGCTTCATACTTAAAAACTTCATATGGGTTTTTAGATGTGATCTATATATAATGCCAATGGTGATGAGATGAATAATTTTCTATGTAAGATAATTTGGAAGCATAATCAACTAAATTAAGGTCACCTTATCTGTAACGGGTTTGTTTCAAGTTTTAAATACATAATATTGTTCATGGTATTGTTATATTTCAAATTTTATTATTTTGTGTAATTTGATAAACGATCGTATCAGCTATATTGTTAGAAAAGCAGTTAAGTGATTTCTCATAATCTGGATGTTGTTACATTAAGAATTGTACTGTTAAAAAAAAAGGAATGAATGGCTCAGAAAACTGTTGGGTCATTGCATTAGCCCTGCTGACCATGTGCTGTAATATTCTGAAGTACTGTAATTTATTTTATTATATAAATTTTTTTTAAACATTTTTATTTAAAGTTTTGATTTCCAAATTCCATCCGTCTGTCCCCTCCCCCCTCCCTGAGATGGTAAGCTATCAAATATACATGTGCAATTAGGTAAAACATTTCCATGTTAGTCATTTTGTACAAGAATACTCGAATAAAAGAATGAAAAAGAAAGTGAAAAATAGTATGCTTCAGTCTGTATTCCATCAATATCAGTTCTTTCTTTGTAGGTGAATAGTATGCTTTATCATTAGTCTTTTGGGATTGTCTTGGATTAGTGTTTTGGGATTGTATTGCTGAGAATAGCTAAGTCATTCACAGTTCTTCATCGAACAATATTGCTTTCACTGTATACAGCATTCTCCTGTTTCTGTTCACTTCACTATGTATCAGTTAATGTAAGTCTTTCCAGGTTTTCCTGAAATCATCTGGCTTGTCATTTCTTAGAGCAGAATGATATTCCATTACCATAATCTATGCTCTAAATCACTATTGATTAAAGAAATGCAAATCAAGATAACTCTGAGTGACCACTTCACACCTATCAGATTGGCTAACATGACAGTATATTCCAATATACCACAGCTTGTTTAGCCATTCTCCAATTGATGGGTGTCCCTTTAATGTCCAAATCTTAGCCACCACAAAAAGCTGCTATAAATATTTTTGTACTTTTCCCTTTTTTCAATGTCTTTGGTATATAGATCTAGCAGTAGTATTGCTGGATCAAAGGGGATGCATGGTTTTATAGCCCTTTGGACATAGTTCCAAATGCCTCTGCAGAATGGTTGGATTAGTTCACTATTCCACCAAGAGTGCATTAGTGTCCCAGTTTTCCCACATCCCCTTCAACATCCAATATTTTTGTCTTTTGTCATTTTAGCCACTCTGATAGGTATGAGGTGGTACCTCAGAGTTGTTTTAATTTGCATTTCTTTGATGAATAGTGATTTAGAGCATTTTTTCATATGACTATAAATAGCTTTGATTTCTTTGTCTGAAAACTTCCTGGTCATATCCATTGACCATTTTATCAATTGGGGAATGACTTGTATTTTTATAAATTTAACTCAGTTCTCTATAAATTTGAGAAATTAGGCCTTTATCAGAGATAGTTATTGCAAAAATTTTTCCCCAGTTTTCTACTTTCCTTCTAATTTTAGTTACATTAGTTTTGTTTCTGCAAAAACTTTTAAATTTTATATAAACAAATTATCTGTTTTACATTTTGTAATGCTCTCTGTATCTTCTTTGGTCCTAAATTCTCCCCTTATCCATAAATCTGACAGATATACTATTCCATGCTCATTTAATTTGCTTATGGTATCACCTTTTAGATAAAAATCATATACCCATTTTGACCTTGTCTTATAGTGTGAGATGTTGGTCTATACCTAGTTTCTGCCATACTGTTTTACAGTTTTCCCAGCAATTTTTGTCAAATAATGAGTTTTTATTCCAAAAGCTTGGATCTCTGAGTTTATCATATACTAGATTACTGTGGTCATTTACTATAATGCAATATATACCATTTCTTAGCCAGTACCTAATTAGTTTTTTTTTAATTTATTTAATTTTAGTTTTCAGCATTCACTTCCATAAGCTTTTTTTTATAGGGATGGCAATTACATTTTAAAAAATTTTTTATTTAAAAAAATTTTTAATTAATTTATTTTGATTTATCAACAATCACTTCCATGTTTGAGTTTAAAATTTTTCTCCCCCTCCCTCCCTACCACCAAGATGGCATAAAATCTGATATAAGCTATACATATACATTCCTATTAAATATATTTTCACATTAGTGATGTTATAAGTAAGAATTAGAACCAATAGGAGGAACCAGCAGAAAGAGGAAACAAAACTCAACAGAAGAAAAAAATAAAAAATAGTATGCTTCAATCTGCATTAAAACTCCATAGTTCTTTCTTTGGATGTGGATAGCATTTTCCATCACAAGGTCTTTGGAGATGTCTTAGATCCTTGTATTGCTGGGTAGGGTTAAGTTTATCAATATTAGTCATTGTACAATGTGGCTGTTATTGTGTATGAAGTTCCTGGTTCTGCTCACTTCACTCAACATTAGACCACAGAAGTCTTTCCAGATTTTTCTAAAATCAGCCTGTTCATCATTTCTTTTCTTTTTTTTTTTTTACTTTTTTTTTTGGATGAGGCAATCAGGGTTAAGTGACTTGCCCAGGGTCACACAGATAGTTAATTGTCAAGTGTCTGAGGCCAGATTTGAACTCAGGTCCTCCTGACTCCAAGGCTGGAACTTTATGCACTGCACCACCTAGCTGCCCCTTGTTCATCATTTCGTATAGCACAATAGTATTCTATTACATTCATATACCACAACTTGTTCAGCTATTCCCCAATTGATAGGCATCCTCTCAATATCCAATTCTTTGCCACCACAAAAAGAATTGCTATAAATATTTTTGTACATGTGGGTCCTTTTCCCATTTGTATGATGTCTTTGGGATATAGCCCTAGAAGTGCTATTGCTGGGTCAAAGGGTATGCACATTCTGATAGCCCTTTGGGCATAGTTCGAAATTGCTTTCCAAAACGGTTGGATCATTTCCCAACTCCACCAACAATGCCAATTTTCCCACATCTTCTCCAGCATTTATCATTTTCTTGTTTTGTCATGTTGGCCAATCTGATAGGTGTGATGTGGTACCTCAGAGTTGTTTTGATTTGCATTTCTCTAATCAGTAGTGATTTAGAGCATTTTTTCATATGACTATAGATGGCTTTAATTTCTTCATCTGAGAACTGTCTGTTCATATCCTTTGCCATTTATCAATTGGGGAATGGTTTCTATTCTTATAAATTTGATTTAATTCTCTATATATTTTAGAAATGAGGCCCTTATCAGAGAGACTGGTTGTAAAAATTCTTTCCCAATTTTCTACTTTCCTTCTAATCTTCGTTGCATTGGCTTTGTTTGTGCAAAAACTGTTCAATTTAATATAATCAAAGTTATCCATTTTGTTTTTCATAATGTTCTCTATCTCTTGTTTGATCATAATTTCGTCCCTTCTCCATAAATCTGACACGTAAACTATTCCTTGTTCTCCCAGTTAGCTTATAGTATCATCCTTTATATCTAAATTGTGTACCTATTTTGATCTTATTTTGGTATACGGTGTAAGATGTTGGTCTATGCTTAGTTTCTGCCATACTATTTTCTAGTTTTCCTATATTTTGTTAAATATATCCCAGGCGCTGGAGTCTTTGAATTTATCAAACAGTAGATTACTATAGTAATTGACTATTATGTCTTGCGTCTCTAACCTATTCCACTGATCCACCACTCTGTTTCTTAGCCAGTACCAAGTAGTTTTGATGATTGCTGCTTTATAATGCAATTTAAGATCTGATTTGGCGAGGCCACCTTCCCTTGCATTTCTTTTCTTTAATTCCCTTGATATTCTGGACCTTTTGTTCTTCTAGATGAATTTTGTTATTATTTTTTTCTAGCCCTATAAAATAATTTTTGGTAGTTTGATTGATATGGCACTAAATACATTAATTTAGATAAAATTGTCATTTTTATTATTTTAGCTTGGTCTCCCCATGAACCATTGATATTTTTCCAATTATTTGATCTGACTTTGTGTGAAAAGTGCTTTGTAATTGTCTTCATATAATTCCTGGGTTTGTCTTGGCAGGTAGACTCCTAAATATTTTATAATGTCTACTGTAAGTTTAAATGGAATTTCTCTTTCTATCTCTTGCTGTTGGGCTTTGTTGGTAATATATAGAAATACCAATGATTTGTGTAGGCTTATTTTATAGCCCGCAACTTTGCTAAAGTTGTTTATTATTTCAAGTAGTTTTTTCTTTATTGTTTTGTTTTTTGCATAGACTTAAGAAAGTAATGGAGAAAATGTTAATAATGCAGATTAAAATTAAAAGTATGTCATGGGTACATTTCTCCCCCCCCCAGCTGGTTGTTAATATTTATCAGATCATAATTACTGTTGTGATCCTAACTTTCTCTAGACCTTTATATAGACATATACAACACATATATAATATATTTGCATACAGACATGTATTTGGAATATGTATATATACATATATATCTGTGTGTGTAGATAAAAAAATACTGGATCTGGGGCTGAGGGGTGGGAGGAGAGGAATATTCTTTTTGCTTCTCTGTATTTGATTAAGGTCACAGATTATATTTGAAAGGTTCTGGGAACAAAATGTCATAAGATTTTATACTGGTAAGTATGTGCTGTGATCAGTCAATCAATGAACATTTATTAAGTGACTACTAAATGTCAGGTGCCATGCTAAATTCTGCGGATACAATCAATCAATCAGCAAGCATTTCTTAAGCTTCTACAATATAACAGGCATTAGAGATACAAAGACAAAAACATAATACTTTTTGTCCTGAAGAAGGCAACATTCTATAGGGGGGAACACTATGAAATACCCATATAAAAAGTACCTAACATGTATTTGTAAAACAAATACAACTGCATTTTTAAGCACTAACACCAATAGTTATCTGGTGAAATCTGATGTAGGAGATAACATTTCAGCTGAGCTTTGAAAGAAACAAAGAATTCTCGGAATAGAGGCAAAGGCTAGAAATGAACAAATTCTAGGAATGAAGGACAGTTCATATCTTTGTGTTGAGACAGGTGATAGGGTGTCATGGGTGAAGAACAGCACAAAGTTCATTTTAAGTAGGGCAGAGAATATGGCAAAGGGGTATTGATTAGTAAGGCTAGGGAGGTATGTTGGAGCCAGATTGTGAAGGGCTACCTGTCAATGAAAGGAGTTTTTAGAATCATAATTCCAGAAGTGAATCACTTGAGTTTGGATAGGGGACTGACATGGTCAGACCTGTCTTTAGGAATAGCACTTTGGCACGTGTGACTGAGTATAGTAGGATAGGTGGGAGAGAGGAGAGATGAGACAAGGAAAGCAATTTGAACTCCCAATTTGGATTGTTTCAATAGAGATGTAATAAGGGCCTGAACTTGGGTAACCATGTGAGTGGAGAGAATGGTACATATGTGAGAAGTCATGAAGATAAAATTGACAAACTTTGGCAGCTAATTGGATATCTTGAGTGAAAAGGAATGAGGAGTAAAGGATGACTGCTAGGTTGTGAACTTAGGTGACTGGAAAGATAGTGGTACTCTTGGCAGAGATAAGGAAATTGGGAAGAAGGATGAATTTTGGAGGAAAGATAATTCTATTTTGAACATAATGAGTTTGAGATGCCTGTGGGATGTCAAATAGGCAGTTGGTGATATAGGACTAAGAGACTCCCATCCCTCATGAAGCTTACATCTACTGGTAAGAGCTGATTTGTCCTATTTAGCAGAGCTTTCCTTGGTGCATTGACTTTGCTATATCATTATCAAACTGAATTTCCCATCATATATTATGAAATTAGTTTACCCTGAATATTGAAAGATTTTCATGATTGACGTATTTATGTTTATCTATTTGGGAAAAGAGGAGCAATGGATCTCCTATTAAAGACCTGGATGGAAATATCTCTCCTTAATAAAATATTTGTTTTTCCATTGATCAGGAACAACATTTATTTTATGTCATCAAATGGCTGGTTCTTAATACCAAGAATATGATAGGCAAGGTTTTACTTTTTTTTTCCCCTAAAGAATGATGTGTCTTTCATTTGTCAAGAATAGAAACAGGAGATAATTGGTTTTCACCAAAAGCAAAATATTTATTCAGGAGACAAACGCCCAGAGGAGAGGTCAACATCAACTCTGACAGTGTCTCCTTGAAGCAGATATGATCATCAGCTGACAAGCTGGGAATTTTTTGTTTGTTTCAATGCTCTTCTTCCATAGCTGGAAAGAATTAAAGTAGAGTTAGTGAAGAAAAAACATGCTCTCATTCTTTATTCTGCTTTTATTTATTTACTCTTCACAGGAAGATGAAGATGCTTTTACTTCTGATGTCGTTCTATGGCAGTGTCAACAGTGATGCAGTTTCAAAGCCCAACATTATTATAGCAATGGCAGACGACCTTGGCATTGGGGATCCTGGATGCTATGGAAACACAACACTAAGGTTTAATAATAGAAGTTCTGTATAAGTGATTGTGCCTATATACATATATATTCAATGTATTTCTTCCTTGGTAATTTTTAAATGTCACATCTATTAAATGTAAGAAACTATAACAGTAATGCTCTTCTATTTGTCTTTATGTATGTAGATTTGTATTTGAATATATTTAAATACTAATGTGTATGTTAGAGTTAGAATATGCTTAGCAAGAACTATGAGTGCATATACATATATATGTAAATATATACATATATTATATATAATTTACACCTGTATGAAGAATCTTACAAAGGAAGCATTTCTACTTTCCATTGTTCATTCTACCATTACTGTGTTGTTGTGTAATATGTGGAAGGGAAAAAGTATCTCCTTTGCCTTTTTTTTCTTTCCTTATATCTTCCTTTTTTCCCATCTTTTCCATGTCTTCCCCACCCAACACCTTCCGTCATTTTTTATTTTTTAAACGTGGGGTGTCTGGCAGTGCCACATCTCTAGATGGTCCCACTCAGCTCTTACCCTATACGTCTGCTCCTTTTTCCCCTTCTTGGAACCCCTACTATTTTTTACTGACAAACAATGAGGGTGTTATACTACCGTCTTTTCAAAGGGCCAGCAAGCCATAGAATCAGAACTGGGAAAGGGATATGGTAGAGGTTAAGTCTTTAGTATCATGTATTTTGCATTAGTACCTTAGAAATACAGCATAGATATCCTGTTTCCAAGGTTTCAATAGAATAAATTGATCTAAAATAAGAGCATCTGCCTTATTCTTTAAACTAAAAAAAAAAAAGTAAATCCTTACCATACTAAAATATTGGTTTTCGGGGTTCTTTATCTGCTTATAATAAGGAAACGATTACATAAAAGTTCTTTGGAGAACTATCACAAGTACAAAGCAATAAAAATAAATTGCTGTAGACTACAAAATATTATTTCCTTTCATTAGAATTTTCCAAAGTAAACTATGAATAATAAATGTTTGAATCTACTTTTTTTTCTGACATGTGAACTAGTAAATTGGTTATCAAGTGATTATAGATGCTGATTTTTCATTTCACTCAGCCAACCTCTTCATTATTTTGCCTCATTAAAATACTTTTGATTCTAGAAATAAGCCACTAGAGTTTGGGCAAGGGAGTGACATGGTTAGACCTATGCTTTAGTATTAATATCATTTTGGCATTGGCAACTGAGTGGAGAACAGACTTGAGGACGGCAAGACTTAAGATAAGGAAACCAAGTTGGACTTCCAATGAGGATAATTTCAGTAGTCCAAAAATTGTGTTCCATAGTTAATATAAAATTAAGTAAATTTTGTTTTTCAAAACTTGCTATATGATTACAGATGCCTTCCTTATTTAAAACATATATTTGAAAGAAAACTTTTAAAAGTTGGAAATATTTTCCAGATATATACTTGGGATATGTCATTCCCCTTTCTTTCAGTTTTCATTGAATCGCATATCAATGTATACCTTTTGTTATTTACTAGCCATTTGATTTGGAGTCTGTCTAGGGTACTTTTAATATTTATAACATACATTTTTCTTTATATTGGAAACCTTACTTCTCTAGCTCATCTATATTAGTTTTTTTGCCTAATTTTTCCCCCCTCACATTTCCTTGATATTCACTTAATCCAAAAATAAAAACGTGATGCTCCTGCTCTCTGCCTTCGTAAGGACATCAAAGTATCATCATTAGTCATAATCAGACTCTTAATAAGGAAAGAAAGGACTGGCAGTCCCTACCCCACTTCCTGTAACCACCTTAGCTCTTTGAAACAAGATATGGAAGTTCCCAGGAAGAAAGACTTTACAATGAGAAAAATACACTTCAGGATTAATCTAATTTCTCTGCTTCCTCTAACTTTCAAATTTACAACTTTTGCTCATTTCTTCCCTTCTCATGGGCTATGGCAAATACTGTAAGTTTCAGAGTTAGCAGATATAGATTTTGCCCTCTTAGACCTTGCAGTCTAAGCCAAACAAGACTGGAGAGAAGCAAAAATAATTCAGGCAAGGAATCAGTTGAATGACTGTAATAGTCTTCTGTGAAGATATTATGTAAAATCAAAGTGATACTTGCAAAATTGTGAGTGAAGAGGAGTAAAGGGGGTGAAATATTTAGGTAGGTTTGCATATCCAGGTCATCCATAAGAAGGCTGTTGGAATGTTAATTTTCAGAGAAATGGCACCATGATTGCTTAGATTTCATTGTATGGCATCTTGGTAGTGTATTTACAAATGAGCACCAAATTAAAACAAAGACTTCTGTGACCCTTGTATATACAGACACAAAAAACAATAACAGTCCATTATTAATATCTCTATTTTATGTAGCAGAAGGTAAATATTAATTAGAAAAATCAACATTAATTATAAAACGTATAATGGGGCAGTGGATCCTATGCTAAACTCAGGATCAGCAAGACTTTAGTTCAAATCCTGTCTCAGACATACTGGTAAAATAGGATTAATAATAGCACCTAACTCTTAAGAGTTGTGCAAATCAATTGAGATAACATATATAAAATGCTTTGCAAACCTTCAAGTGCTATATAAATGCTAGCCATTATTATAATTAAAAAGCTTCAGTTTTATGACAATTAAAATAAAATTATTCTTCTCCTTCCCCTAGAACTCCTAATATTGACAGGATAGCCAAAGGGGGAGTGAAATTCACTCAGCACTTAGCTGCATCTCCACTGTGTACCCCAAGTAGAGCAGCTTTCCTGACAGGTCGTTACCCTATCCGATCAGGTAAAATCCATTTAAAAATTATTATTGTTCATTTTCTTCTTGCTGGAAAGACATCTCTCATTAATGTTCTACTTTTTTTTTTTCCACCTGGTCCAGGAATGGCTTCACGCTCTAAGGTTGGAGTGTTCCTATTTTCGGCCTCCTCAGGTGGACTGCCTGCAAATGAAATCACTTTTGCCAAGCTTTTGAAGAACCAAGGCTATTCTACAGCCCTGATAGGTAGAGACAGCTGAGAGAAATGCAGAAAAGGGAAGGAACTTAAGATTATAGCAAGGAACTTAACAGAGAAGTCAATTCACAAAAATTTATTAAATGCTTGTTGTGTGCTAGACTCCATATAGGTGTGAGATGGGGGAGGGGATGAGAGTGTTCAAGGACAAGTGAAAGTGTGTGTGAGAGTCAGAGACAATTTAAGATAAATTCTGAAAGCAGCATTTATTACTTTTATGGAAAGGATGACAGTCTGGGGTTTCAGTTTTAGAGGAGCTGTGTTCAAACTTTGACTTTGAAATTTAACTATGTGGTATTGAGTAAATTACTCAAATTCCTTGAGCCTCAGTTTCTGAATCTGAAAAGGAAAGATTTGGATTAGATGACCATTGAGGTCCTTCTTAGCTCTAAATATATAATCCTATGAAATTTGTGCAAATTCTGAATGGACATTTATGTTTGTGCATTATATATGTATACACACAAAGAATTTTTTTTTCATACCTGTATATGTTTATATAAACTCATCCTCTAGTGAAGAAGTTCTAATTCAGGTAGGATTTGGGTTCTTGAAGGTTAAGCCAGTGGATCACCAGATCTAGAAAGGCCTACCAAGTTGGAAAGGTTTCAGGTAAGGACCAGGCAACAGAGTATGTGTCTGTCACTAGTGCACAAACTTAGCACAATTTACAGTCTTATCCCTAGAAGTTTGGCAATAAGGTAAGAAATTATTTTGACCGCAATGCCTCATGGTTCTGAAGAGTTATTTACAACAATGAAATCATAGTTTTGTTTTGTTGTTTTGTTTGTGACCTTTTGAAGTAAACATTTCATACAACACATGATTAAATATTATTACTTCCACCTTTATTTCTAAAACTGATGAAGTATGTGTTTTTATGGAAAATACATTTTGCATGTCACATTTGCCTCATATTATGTGTTGCTCTTTTGAAAAGAGAACACTGTTGTTTAGCTTGTGTTGGTGTAACCTTAGTAGAGTGAAATGTTAGCCACTACTCATAGGCATTCATTCAGAATAATTTTCCTACAATATGGCATCCTACCATGAATATATCAACTTACAGCTGGAAGGGATATTAGAGGTCATCTAGTTCAAACCTCTTATTTTACATTTGAGGAAACTGAGGGCAAGAGGGATTAAGGGATTTGTCCAAGGTCACATAGCTAATATATGGCAAAAGCCAGAGAACTCAGATTCTCCATCCCGCTTTCTTTCTTTACGATAAGTAAGTTTTTTTCCTTGCTACTTTTGGATGGCAGCATTAATTTTATTTAAAAAACAAAAATTTATCCTTTGTCTTTCAAATATATCTTTTAAAATATTTACTATATCATGCAATGTTATTATGTGTCAGATCCTTTTTAAATTTTTTTTTTTTGCTTAAAATTAGAACAGGGAAATGAGCATGAATATAAAGAAACTGATTTAAAGAAAATTCTTCAGGAAACTCTGTGCCATGTATCAGGAACTGCCTATATGACATACAGTGACTTAATAAAGATGATTAATGGGCTATAAAGACCAAATCAAGTCTGTTTGCCTATCGAAATAAGTTTTTCAAACCCTAGACTATGTGGGACGTAAATGTTTAATTTTGGACGATGGAGCTCAAAGGGTGTGGACAGTTAGCAATTGTGATACAAATGGAAAGAGGGCCGTTGTAACATTTTCTAAATGCTTAGAAGAGAACAAAAGGACATTTGAAAGGAACGCAATACAGTTTTGAAAGTAATATGTAGAATGTCTTGTATACTTTAAAAAAAACAAGCACTAAGAAAAAGAGTCTTCCGGCATTATATAGAATCAGCTTTTTGTGTTTTTCCATACGTATTAAAATTTTTCTTTTTTTGGTGTTTAAGTTCAGAATTAAAACAGTCAAGTAGGTAGAAATCATCTAAATTTATATAGGTAGGATTTAGTATTCAAAGTCAGGAAGTTCAGAAAATTTACCTGAGAACATGTTTCTCATATATTTCTCTCTCCATAGGAAAGTGGCATCTTGGGATAAACTGTAACAGCAGAGATGACTTCTGTCACCACCCTTTAAATCATGGTTTTGATCATTTCTATGGACTTCCAGTGACCAATCTGAGAGACTGCAAGCCAGGATCAGGCACTGTGTTTACCACAGCCATTCATATGTTTGTTTTCATTCCTCTGCAAATTGTTGGCATTGCCCTTGTCACTTTGGAGGCGCTCAATTGCCTTGGCCTGTTTCGACTCCCTCACTGGGTATTCTTTTCCTGTCTTTTATTAGCAGCTACTATAATTGGACTCTTAGCCTGTTTCCTTCATTTTTTCCGACCTTTAAACTGCATCTTGATGAGGAACCATGAGGTTGTCCAGCAGCCAATGTCTTATGAGAATCTCACTCAGAGGTTGACCAGGGAAGCTCTCAAGTTCATAAACAGGTTGGTGTTGCTTGTGTACTGGGATTTTGTTCATGAAAACTGGCTAACATCCATTTCCATGGTGACAGTCAAACACTACCCTTATTTTAGCCTTCTTTTCTCTGCCTTATTCAATATGTATCCAGAGAGGTAATAAGAGAGCACATGGGGGAGGGCAGTTGGTCTGAATAAAGTATAATATGAAAAATTAAATAGTATATACTTGATAACTTCAGAAATTACTCCCCAGCTATGTTAGTTTCTTATTTTAAACACCTTGGACTGATTTCACAGCTTTTCTGTCAACTTTTCCACTCTTCCAGCTTTTTAAAAGTATGGTAGTTGATCACCTTCTTTACTGGAAAGCTATAAGCTAAAGTGAGAGTTGGCTGGAACTGTTTTGTTTTAGTCACCAGGAATTGTTATGCAGGAATGAAAAAAAAATAATAGTATTGTTGTCTTTAGTCTACATTTTACCCTTATAAATGAAAAATGAGCTAGCTTTGGGGAAAATGTTGAGGAAAACCAAGAATGGCTTTTTAAGCTATGTTTGGGTCAAGAATAACAAAAAAAGGGTAGGTCTTAGGGTCAACAGAGTGTATAATGTTAATAGATGGATAGAAAAAGCAAAATTTGAAAAAAAAGGAACTACTTAAATGTCATTGTCAGGGAGAATGATTTTCAGACTCAAAGGGGTAAAACAAAAATGGTAAAAAAAAAGTAATAATAGATAACAAATAAATAAAATAATATAAAAAATAAAATAAAAGATAACTTAAAAAAATAAGAGGAGATAGTAAGAGAGTACCAGGTACTTTAAAATTGAGTTTGAATCTTGAGATTCAAAAAAGGTTGCACATTTGATTGTTCAGGTGCTGTAGATTATCTTTCAGGAATCAAGAGGAAAAAGAGATATCCTAAAGACTGGAAATGAGCAAATGTTGTGGGATTCAAAAGACAAGCAAAGTCAAATCTGGAAATAATAGATTTGTCAGCTTGACATGAATTCTTGGCAAAATTTTAGAGCAGATTGTTCACTAGCACTTAGCATGGGAAGCAGTGATCACTAGTAGCCAGAATAGATCAACAAATCATTCCAGAATAACCTCATTTATTCTGTTCATGGTTTTACTAGGCTTTTGTGCCTGGAATGTGGTCAATATAACATCTGATTTCAACAAGATTTTTTTTTTTTGCATATTCTCTCACAATATTCTTGTAAGCAAGAAAGAGAAATAAATGTGTCCTAGATTATATAGTATAGCTGTTGTTCAGTTGTTTTAGTCTTGTCTGACTCTTTGTGATCTCATTTAGATTTTCTTTGCAAAAACACTGGAGTGGTTTGCCATTTCTTTTTCCAGCTTATTTTACAGATGAGGAAACTGAGGCAAACAGGATTAAATGACTAGCCCAGGGTCACATAGCTAGTGCCTAAAGCCAGATTTGAACTAAGGAAGTTGAGTCTTCCTAACTCCAGGTCTTGTACTATCCACTCTGCCACCATAGTACAGTTAGGTGGATTCATAATTGATTCTAAGAAATGAAGAATCTCAGAGTTCTAAAGGACCTCAGTGGCCAATCTAGTCTAACTGATGCTTGAATAAGAATTCACTCTACAATTCACAAGAATTCAATCAAGAAGTAGTCATTGAGCCTTTGTTTGAAGATTCCAGTGAAGGGGAACCCATTCATTATTTCTCTTACTAATGATTTCTCATGCCTTTTTATAATGTAGTTGGGCTTTTAACATCTGATTTTAATGGACCCAATATCTCATTATAGCTGACCTAGCAGTTTTAAACTGGTACTTTTTTTTCTTTAGCTAAACATTGTTTTAGCAAGCAGAATTATTCAAAGTATACAAGCAGAGTTATTGAAAAGGATCACAGTATCTCAGACTTAGGAGGGATTTCAGAGTCTGTCTAATACAACTTCACAATCGTATCTTTTCCATTTCCATCCACTACTCCCAATTCCCAGTCCCAGTTGGGTCTGGTTGAATCATTAGGTTACAAAAGTATTAATTAATAGATCAACATTAAATGGGATAAAATGTCTCTGGCCTTGTATTTATTCTGTTCAATATTTTTATAAGTGATTTAGATAAAGATATAAGTGTCATTGTCATCAAACTTATGCATGACACAAAACTAGAATGCATCGTTTAGACACTGGATGATAGAAATAGAATCTAAGTACACCTTGGCAGGCCAGAATGATTGTCCAAATCTAATAAGATGAAATTTAATAGGAATGCATTTATACTTCCTAGTTTCCAAGATTCAATTGCACAGTACACAGTGATAGAAAGATGGTAATGCTTGTGAAAAAAATGTATTGAGGTTTTATTTTGATTCAAGCTTAACAAGAGTCAGCAGTGCATACTGGCTGTGAAAGAATCTGATGTCTTGCAACATTCATTGATGATTAATATCCAGATCAAGTGATATGTGAGACCTACTGTATATTCTGCACTCATGAGATGATTTTTGTGTTTAGGCTCTCTCAAAAGAGAATGTTACCAAGCTTTCCCAGGTTTAAAGGAGGCAATAAAAAAAATGAGTGGACCTGGAATCATGCCATATGCAGATTGGTCAAAGAATTAGGGATGGAGAAGAGAAAACTTGAGAAGTGACATAACTCTATCTTGAAATTTGTGAGGAGCTATCATGTGGAAGAAGGATGAGATATTAAGTCAAATATTAAATATTAGAGTCAAATATGGAAGCAGAACCAATGGATTGAAGTTACAGGGAGATTGATTTTGGCTTAATATTGGAAATTACTTCCTACCAATTAAAAATGTCCATGAATAGAACGGTCTACTTCAGACAGTAAGGAGTTCTCTGCTACTAGAGGTTTGCTTGTGGAGGCCAATAACCATTGATCAGGGGTCTTGTAGGGGGAATTCATGTATCATCAAGTAGAAGGTAAAATTAGGTGATGCCTGAGATCCCTTCCAGATGGTTTGAAGATTCTATGAATCTATGAAACATTTGGAATTTTTCTGATGAGTTGATAAAAAAGCTTTGAGCAATTTTTGTTCCTAAATAGATCTGGAAATTAGTTGGCTGCAACTGATCTTTGGAATATCTTTCAACTGTTAAGTTTTGCAGGATGAAATGAGCACACCTAACAACTAGTGACATAGTTTAGCTAAGGAATAGATTGTCAAGTCAAGAGTTATATCGATAAAGTGGAGACAATTTCGGGAAGTATGCTTAGTCTATTACTACCATATTTGGAACAAGGTAAGAAATCTAAATAAGACCCATCATCACTTTAAAGTAAAATACAGTTTTCAATCCAGAATCAACAAATTGCCTTATGTAAACAATTGGAACCACTCTTCTAACTCTGAGACATAGCTTTGTGAGAGATTATGGATTTCACACTTAGTAACTGGGGATACTAAGCAAGTCGTTTAGCCTCTAGGAATTTGTTTCCTTTTCTACAAGATGGGGATGAAAATACTTCCATCATATGCTCCACAGAGTTCTCAAGGAATAGCAGTTTTCAAATTTCAAATCATCATTTTTTAATGTTTGTTAAGTATTTTGAAATGTTTTATGATATGCTTTATCTTCACATCCCAATCATTTCACTCTAAATTTCCTTGAACCCTCCTGTACTCAAGGAAAACTAAGTATAGGTTTTCAGTATAATTACCACATATGATAATACTCTATCCTATTTTTCTCCCACCTCTTTTTTTTCTGGAGCCTTCATTGTCTTTTTTGTTACTTGGGATTCCACTTCCTTTTACTATAGTAGTATGTTATTTACATGCTTATCTTGTTTTCTTGGTTCTGATTATTTTGCTTCAATTCATACAGATCTCACATATTTCTTTTAATTCTTCATATTCATTATTTCTTATGACATACTAAAATTCCATTAGAGTAATATGCCAAAGTTTTTTCAAGCCATTCCCCAGCTGGTAGGCACTTAAATTTATTTCCATCTCTTTAATATAACAAAGAGAGCAGATATGAATATTTTGGAATATATTTTGACATACTTGGGGTTTTGTCCAGTAGTGGGTTTGCTGAGTCAAAGCATGTGAATAGTTTAGTCTGTCTTCTTCCATAATTCCAAGCTGAAATCCAGAACAGTTAAGACTGCTTCACTGGTCTCCCAATGTTTCTCAGTGTGCCTGTATTCAGTCAATCTTAAGTGCCTACTATGTGCCAGGCATTGTCCTAGGTATTTTTTGTACATGAAAATGAAGCTATTGTCTCACTGTCAATAGAACTTGTGATTTAAGGTGTTTCTTCCATAATGGTGATGGATTTGCACTGAACCATCTGCAGTCCCTTGAAACAATAATAGAAGCATACACCATCTATTCATTAGTTGATTGGCTGGGGTTTAGGAGTAAAGTCTGTGGCCACGAAACATAACAAGTTAATTGGACTTCACTTGAATCCAAGCAAGAACACTGATCTCATTAATATCATACTTAAACCAGCTAAACTAACAAAGTCCAGTTTACATAAAGACCAGTTCCAACATGTTTATTTTCAATTAAACCAAATATAGATTTATATGCACCACTTACTACCCAAAGGTTTTAGTGGAAAACTTTATAAGCAATGCACAAAAGTTATTATTAAAAGGGTTAATTTACCATGCAAAATTGGAAGGAAAAAAAAGTCAGAACAGGATTAATTAATGTCAAAGATTTATATAGCTTTCAGATTGAAAGTAGAAAAATTAGTTTTGTAGCAAGTCGGATTATAAACTATATAAATTAATCATTAAAGGTCAATTCAGTTTTTTGCCCCTAAGGCACAGTAGTATAGAGTTGATTCCAAAACAAATTCTATAAATAATGGCACATAACAGTCAGATTTGGAAGCAAAAATCATTTTTGCATAACTACACACATCAGCTTTCCTCAAACTGTGCATCATGTGAAAGCTAACATTAGGTTAGATAATGAGTTAACAGTGATATCTTTGTGATAGAAACCAAGAGGACACTGAGATGTTTTACAGAAGGTTCTAACAATAATATTT